TTGATCCCTAATTCTTGTGTTATGAGAAGGAGTAAATAACACTTTCTTATTCACTTTCTCCACACCAGTCATGATTTTATAGACCTTTAGCATATCCCCCCTTAGTCATCTCTTTTCCAAGCTGAAAAGTCCCAGTCTTATTAATCTCTCCTCATATGGAAGCCGTTCTTTACCCCTAATCCTTTTCTTGCCCTTTTCTGAACCTTTTCCAATTCCAATATATCTTTTTTGAGATGGGGCGACCACATCTGCACGCAGTATTCAAGGTGTGGGCGGACCATGGATTTACATAGAGGCAACATGATATTTTTCTCATTATCTCTCCCTTTCTTAATGATTCCCAACATTCTGTTCGCTTTTTTGGCTGCCGCTGCACATTGAGTGGATGTTTTCCGAGAACTATCCACAATGACTCCAAGATTTTTCTAAAGTGGTAACAGCTCATTTAGACCCCATCATTTTAGATGTAGAGTTGGGATTATGTTTCCGATGTGCATTACTTTGCATTTATCAACATTGAATTTCACCTGCCATTTTGTTGTGCAGTCGCACAGTTGAGTGAGATCCCTTTGTGACCTCACGGCATGGTGTGACTGGGGGAAGGGGGGTGCACCCAGGGTCTGTGGTCCAGGGTCGTGCTGAGGGAAGAGATGTGATGAAGTGAAAATTTTCTTTAGTATTTTTATGAAGCTGATGCGTGCCTCAGTTTCCCTCTCTACGTTGTATTGTTACTCGGTGGGCACAAAGGGGTTAACGCTGCCCCTGGCCCAGCACAGGGGACACGGGGGGGGGGGGTCGGCCTGCTGTCGGGGTGCAATGAATCGGGTCCTTACGGAACCGGCTGGAAGCGAGCCAGACTAGGGCTCCGGAGAGACCACGCCGGCTGCGAGGCTCAGCAGTAGGGGCTCCGCGGGGGAGCTCTGGTGCACACAGAGCCCTGGGAGGGGCCAGGCCTGGTGCTCGGAGCTGGCGAGATCCCCTGGGGCCAGGCCTGGGTCCCTGTCTGGCTGCTCCCCTTGGGCCAGGGGGCTCCAGCGGAGCGTGGGCGAGTGGGCGCTAAGCAGGGAGCTGCGGCAGGGGCATCGCCCTAGGGGGTCACTGCCCTTAGCGCCCGGGCCCCTCGGTGGTACTGGTGCCAGGAGCTGGCTGGGAAGGCCGCACCGGTGAAACGCGAGCGCCCAGGCCGAGGGGTGAATAATGCAGGGCCTGGGGGAGGGACAAATGGAGAGGCAGGCGAGGCCATTGGGGGCCCATGGGAGACACCAGGACTTGGGACACAGGGCGCCAGCCTGGGGGGGGTATGCTCTGACTGTAGCCTGAATCTGCCCCCTCCCCCCCCAGCCGTGGGGAGGGTGCATCTCCCCAGGCCCCGTGCACCATGAGCATGGCCACGGACGTCTGTCCCGCTCGGCGACGGTGGGGAAGGGGCGCCTAGTCTGGCTGGGCCCAGCGCCTCCCGGTGCCCCACCTGGGCCAGGCACGACAACTCCCAGTCCCCCCCAGCCGGGTCCTGTGCTGTGGGATGGGGAGGGAGGGGGCAGGCCGCGGAAGGAGGCAGGTTCACGGTGTAACTGTCATTTCCTTGGCCCCATTCACCCAAAGTGCTGCACACCCAGTATGTGGGGCACGGGCATGCAGCCACCTCTGGGGCAGGCCTGGCAGCTCTCTAACAGCTCACAGCAACACCGCACAACTGCTCAGGACAGCAGCCGTGTGCTACGAGGGGCTTGCCCCCCTCCTGCCCCTCCCTTGGGAACTGCCCAGGGCCTGTCTGCATCTGCCCCCAGCCAGCTCCCACGCCCTGCGGTACTGACTGGGGGAGGCAGACTCTGCCGAGAGCCCAGCAGAGCCCCTCGCGTGGGATGGGCCGGGCCGGGGCCTGGCACAGCCCAGCGACTCCGAGCAGCATTGACTAAAAAGGGCAGACGAGGGGAGCTGACAGCAGCACTGAGGAATGTCTGAGCCGCTGGGGCTCCCTGGGGGCAGGGGCTCTCCCATCAGCTGCCGGCCCCCGTGGCAGGCGGCTGTGGGGGGGGGGGGGGGCTCTGC